GCTAAGCACCTGTTTAGTTTGTCGGATTGGTTGCAGTTGAGTTAAGTGGGTTTGATAGATAAAATGTTGGGCCTGTTTTAATATGCATTGCTGTTAAAAAAAATCGAAAACCCTAAATAAAAAATAAACAAATAAAATAATTTTTTTAAAAACCCTAAATGAAATACGAAATCATGAAATAAGTACAAAACCTAAATCAATCATGATCAATTCAAAAGAATCTAAATTATCCATCATCAGTTCAAAAGATTTTAAACCAATGAATCAAAATATGAAACTATCAACAAACATAGGTAAAAAAATCAGGATCAAAAGTAAAAATCCTAAGAAAGATACCTCAATATTTGGAAGATTAAAACCCTCTTCTAGGGTTGAAGATCGACCTTGTCACATTTATGCTTCAAACTAGCTAGTAGATTGAAGAAAGAAATCAAGGAAGAGCAAACGACATCAAATCAAATGGCGATAGAGAGATGATTGAGGCGAAATGTAATTCTAGATAAAAGCAAACAAATAGTCGTTGTACAAGATAAAGGTATAAAGTAGAGAGGCAGCCAGAGAGTCTTCTCAGCTGCTCTGTTGTTTTGGTCTTCTGAAAATATCAAAGAGTGTAATTACTAAGTGTTTGGAAATATGAGAGAGATATTTTCTTTTATTATTATTATTTTTTTTTGAGTTTTGTAACTTATAAGTACCAAGTGTTTGGAAATATGAGAGAGAGTGCGGCTCCTATAAGTCAAATTATCATGTGATACACAGAGGAGTCATTCAAGATTTGCAATCTCAAAGGTTTGAAATTAAATGGATGGTTGACAAGTGGACGGCTGAAGAAGGCAAATATGTTCCGACGGATAATTGTATATATTAAATCTACTGCTGACTGTGAACTCACTAATTTTCCTAAATCAGAACCGTTGCTGACCCAAAAGTATTTCGAAACCGTCCGTGGTGATGAGGGCTGAGTCGGGTCGGTCGGTTTCATCGGGTATGTAGTTTGTATGAACAGCCCTATCCCTAGTGCCTGTAAAATAGCCTTTTAATTTCCCATTCATGTTAAATAGAGAAGTTGGTTGAGGAGATGCAACCAGTGTGCAAAACCCATGGCATTAATAGTCTGAATGGCAAAAGTCCAATTCATAGAATCATAAGCTTTTCTGAGATCAACCTTCAGAGCACATCTCTATTTGAGTTCCTGTTATAATTTATTTTGGATTTGTTTGAAAGCTCATAAAGATGAAAGTTGGTACCCGCTAAGGTCAAATACTCAAAGCGTCATAAAGAAGGAAGCTGCTAGTGTTATGGCCAAATATTTGTCAAAGCATCAATTAGGATTCTTCTTTGTCTATTTTTCTTTTTGGGAATTTTTTATTTTTTTTTAAAATCTTGATGTTGCAAAAAAGAAATTATATACTCTTAAACAATACTCTTTATTTGTGATTGAATTTGCTTTAGGTTACCTGAAATATGTGAGAAAAAAGCTTGGCAAATTTCTAGTGATTAAAATCTATTTAGTCCCTAAACTATTGATTGAATCTATTAAGGACTCGTTTGGGAATAGACTATTTAAATAACTTTTTGGCTTAAATATGGGGTAAAAAAAACTAGTATGTTTAGAATGACTTTTTGATTTTTTACAAAAAGATGTGCAAAAAGTAGAGAGAAAATGAAATCTTTGACTTTTTGGTATAGGTTATCTGCTTTTTGATTTTTTTAGTAACTTTGACTTTTAGGCTAAAACTATTACTTGCCAAACGAGGCCGAAGTCTCTAAAATATTTAATTCAAACTTATTTAGTCCCTGAAAGGATTACAAAAATAAAATATATGCGCACAAGTATTATAAATTAGTAAAAGACCCTACCAAGTTAAGATTTTATTTTAGAGAATTTTGGTTGTGTTTGATATGCAATTCTAATCATGATTCCACACCCATATTTGAATGTGGTGTTTGGATACAAATTTCAAAAATTAATTCCACACCCACTTTTGCAAACTCGTTTCAGGCGGGGTTTTGAATTTTGAAATTTGGCTTACCCGGTCGTCTGGAACAATGCTCTCTCTCTTTTTTTTTTGGACAAAATTGGCACATGTTATTTTTTATATTTTAAATAAAAAATATTTTCGAAAATTTTTAAATTTTTTTATGAGTTTTAAATAGAATTTTGGGTTGTGTAATCATGATTCCACACCCATATTTGAATGTGGTGTTTGGATACAAATTTCAAAAATTAATTCCACACCCACTTTTGCAAACTCGTTTCAGGCGGGGTTTTGAATTTTGAAATTTGGCTTACCCGGTCGTCTGGAACAATGCTCTCTCTCTTTTTTTTTTTTGGACAAAATTGGCACATGTTATTTTTTATATTTTAAATAAAAAATATTTTCGAAATTTTTTAAATTTTTTTATGAGTTTTGAATAGAATTTTGGGTTGTGTGTTTGGTTATGAGTTGTAAGTTTTTGAATAAAATATTATATGTCACATCAAAAATTTCAAACTCAATTCAAAACTCTTTTCAAAACTCATAAGCAAACAAATTTTTCATTCAAATCATAATTCAAAAACTTAAAATGCAATTCTATTCTCAAATCATAATTCTAAAACTCTACTAAACGCTACCTTTAAATTTCTATTTGGTTTTTAAAAAGTGTTTTATTTTGTGATGTGTTTAAATTATTATCAGAGTCTGGTTTCTCAGTTTTGTCAATAAAATTATACGAGTATTAGACATACTAAAGAAGTAGAATTATATAATTTAAATAGTATCACTGCGCAACAAATTATAATAGAACAAAATAATACATTAATTAAGTTATAAAAAGAATTTATCAAAAAACTTGAAAACAATCAATTAGAAATTTTAAATGAAATTCGGTATGTAATTCTAGATAAAAGCAAACAAATAGTCGTTGTACAAGATAAGTAAGAAAATATTATAGATAATTACTTTTACTCTTATAAAGAAAATTCTCCAAAAGATCTTATGCCTATTTTTCGAAGACAGTATAAAAATTTAAGGTTTTTTTGAAATAAAATTTTAACTAGATAGGATATTTTACTAATTTGTAATACTTATGGGATTATATTTTATTTTTATAATCCTTTCAGGGACTAAATATGTTTGAATTAAATACTTTAGGGACTTGATAGATTCAATTGATAGTTTAAGGACTAGATAGATTTTAATTTATATACTTTAGGGACTAAGGAGATTCAATTGATAGTTTAGGCACTAAATAGCCAATTTGGCGATAATTTAAAGGTAGAAAGTTTAATAAACCCTAAATGATATGAAAAAGGGCCAAAGATTCGTATATGATTACAGTTAGAATTAATAAGCTAGATCTTTGGGTTTGAGCACCAGGAGTGCTTCTTGTTGGACTTTTAGAAGTAAGATTCAGAAATTGATTCCTTAAAGGCTATGAAGCACGAACACGGACACGGATACGGACACGGGACACGGCAATTTCCAAAATATGGGGACACGGACATGGCGGGGGGCATGACGAATCTTTTTATTATTTATTTTAATATATTTTTATGTGTTATGTAGATTTATATTACATTCATCTTAAATCAAAATTAACAAACACTAACATAGTAACATTAATTTAATAAATATAACTACTACATTTAAACAAATTAATAGATCATCTATTCACAAAAAGTCATAATAAACAATAACAAGAACTAAGACGAGAAGGGAAAAACATTCAACATCCAACAATATTTTTCACAAAAGCACTAAATAAGAGAGGAAAAAAATAAAATAAAATTAGCCCTGCCGTGTCCCATGCCGTGTCCCCATATGGACACGCGTGTCCCCACTGTGTTCCCTACAAAAAAATCATTAAATTAAAGGGACACGCCAGATGGCGTGTCGCGTACGTGTCCCGTTGTCGGACACTGCCACGACACTGATTTTGGAGTGTCCATGCTTAATAGCTTAAAGGTATATTTATATTAAGGATGAAGCAACCTTTCATTTATACATAAAATCATACGAGTTAGAGTGACTCGTTGAAATATTACATTTTCACTCTATTGCATAATCTGCAAAGATTATGACATACACTGGAAGTACCTTGTGAAGTATGCACTTTTTTTTTTCTCTGTTAAATGACTTTTTGAAAGAATTTTGGGTATGTTTGGTTTGTGTTTGAGAGATGTGTTTTAGAGATAAAAAGTACGAAAAGTTGTTTGGTTTGGTTTTTTTCAAAAGATGTTTTAAAAAATTATTTTGAGAGAGAATTTTGGAAAAAGTGATTGATTTGATGTGTGTGAGAGAGAGATTTGTTTGGAAAACTTGTTTGGTTTATAAGTTTTGAGAAATTTTTTTGGAAAAATTTGTTTGGTTTGATTACTTTTAAAAACTTATTTGTAGAGAAAATTTCCCAAAAATTTTTCAGAAATACAAACCAAACGAACCCTTTATTTTCACACCCCAAAAGAAATAAAAAATTGTAGTTGTAGAAGTTTAGCTATGTACTTGTACACAATGACCATGGAATATATGCTGATAAAAAAAAACTAATATATGATGTGCAATTTGTTGCTACTGCCTTCAGGTTTCAAATTCTACTTTGTAGCATCCTGGTTGTATATTTTAAGTTGCTTTTGAATTATGTAAAAAGGTCTATTGTCAAGTTTACTTAATGTTGGAGGATAAATTAGTTGTAGTTATCTGCACTAGATCCTTTTTGTGCTGTTCCAAGTATGTTATAAAATTTGATATTGCTTCTGATGTTGATTTTTTTTCACAGTAAGACATGCTGCTGTAAAATTTTTTAAAAAATATGACTCATTTGAGGTGTAGTTGTGGTTCAAAGCATGTATTTGTGGATTTGGTTGTTCACTATATTTAGTTATTATTGAAACATCATATAATTAATTGCTATTCATACATAATATAATCAATTCCTATTGAGAAGTTAATGTGTCTTTTTGTTCTAATTTCTGGTTGTAAATTATCCATTGGAATTTTGACGGTTTTATAATGCAGAAAGTAATCCCATTTCATGAAGTCACATCTGTACGAAGAGCAAAGGCTGCAGGAATATTTCCAACTGCCATAGAAGTTATGGCTGGAGGAAAGAAGGTAGTAAGCTTGACCAGTGCTGCCATGTTCTCTAATGCTTGCATTTCAAGGGTATTTCGAAGGGAATGACCAGAATTTGATATTTCTATATTGTATGGGTGACCTCTTAATTCACCTATTGTTTTGCAGTACTTCTTTACATCTTTTCTGTCCCGCGATGAAGCTTTTAAGCTAATGAATGATGGTTGGTCGCAACATGGTAATGTGGTTAAAGAAATCACAGATTTGCAGGTATTTTATCCCTCTCTCCATTCATTTGGGATGATGGCACATCATAGAAGATGGTCTTGATTAGTAATCTGTTTCTGGCATTAAGTTTCTTATTGGAGTTGGATGATTGATTGGATTTCAGAGCGGCAAAGCTTTTGGTTTCCTTACTCCTTCCTCAAAATGAATTTAGCTAATGGACGAGCTAGTTGGAAATTTCATGATTGAATTGTGTTGGATTTGTGGGGTTTTAGCATTTTATAAAGCTGGATGTTTATTTATTCGACTGCTGTGGTGCATTGCCATTCATAACTAGTCTGTCAGTTTGGCTTGCACTTATTAGAACATTTGTTTTCTTCTAGCCTTAATCAAGATATTAACTAATTGGAATTGCTGCGATTATATCTATTTTCTGAGTTAAGCATCCTTAGTGACATCAGGGAGATAGGTTTTAGATTCTTAAAATGGTAATTGTGACTGTGTTGGGATGATGTCGGTGTGAGTTGAGAGCGTTATGCATCTTATCCTATCTTGGAGGGGGGCTTGAGTGGAGAAGAGAAGGAAGAAAGCTTGGGTTTTGAAACCTTTAGCTTGTTGTGTATTATTTGGGGGAGCATAACCAGAGGATTTTTTATGGAAAGGAAGCTCCAATCTTGAATTGAAAAGTAGAATATTACTCCTTTTGTATAGTTCATTCTCTTGGATGTAGTTGACTCATCCTTGAAGCAATTCTTGGACTTTGCAGAGACTTTTGAGTAAAGACTTAGGTATGGTAAAGTGATGTTTTTGTTTGCCTTAAAGTCTAATTGTAATTCAATCAATCTTGTAATACATCAATACATCAATCAATCTTTACCTTCACTTACTCCACTACACACTCCACTTCACCTAACCCACTATCTCCTCCACTACACCTACTACCACATTTTCTTCTATATATAGATTGTATAGGAATTGTAATTCAATCAATCTTGTAATACATCAATACATCAATCAATCTTTACCTTCACTTACTCCACTACACACTCCACTTCACCTAACCCACTATCTCCTCCACTACACCTACTACCACATTTTCTTCTATATATAGATTGTATAGGAATTGTAATTCAATCAATCTTGTAATACATCAATACATCAATCAATCTTTACCTTCACTTACTCCACTACACACTCCACTTCACCTAACCCACTATCTCCTCCACTACACCTACTACCACATTTTCTTCTATATATAGATTGTATAGGAATTGTAATTCAATCAATCTTGTAATACATCAATACATCAATCAATCTTTACCTTCACTTACTCCACTACACACTCCACTTCACCTAACCCACTATCTCCTCCACTACACCTACTACCACATTTTCTTCTATATATAGATTGTATAGGAATTGTAATTCAATCAATCTTGTAATACATCAATACATCAATCAATCTTTACCTTCACTTACTCCACTACACACTCCACTTCACCTAACCCACTATCTCCTCCACTACACCTACTACCACATTTTCTTCTATATATAGATTGTATAGGAATTGTAATTCAATCAATCTTGTAATACATCAATACATCAATCAATCTTTACCTTCACTTACTCCACTACACACTCCACTTCACCTAACCCACTATCTCCTCCACTACACCTACTACCACATTTTCTTCTATATATAGATTGTATAGGAATTGTAATTCAATCAATCTTGTAATACATCAATACATCAATCAATCTTTACCTTCACTTACTCCACTACACACTCCACTTCACCTAACCCACTATCTCCTCCACTACACCTACTACCACATTTTCTTCTATATATAGATTGTATAGGAATTGTAATTCAATCAATCTTGTAATACATCAATACATCAATCAATCTTTACCTTCACTTACTCCACTACACACTCCACTTCACCTAACCCACTATCTCCTCCACTACACCTACTACCACATTTTCTTCTATATATAGATTGTATAGGAATTGTAATTCAATCAATCTTGTAATACATCAATACATCAATCAATCTTTACCTTCACTTACTCCACTACACACTCCACTTCACCTAACCCACTATCTCCTCCACTACACCTACTACCACATTTTCTTCTATATATAGATTGTATAGGAATTGTAATTCAATCAATCTTGTAATACATCAATACATCAATCAATCTTTACCTTCACTTACTCCACTACACACTCCACTTCACCTAACCCACTATCTCCTCCACTACACCTACTACCACATTTTCTTCTATATATAGATTGTATAGGAATTGTAATTCAATCAATCTTGTAATACATCAATACATCAATCAATCTTTACCTTCACTTACTCCACTACACACTCCACTTCACCTAACCCACTATCTCCTCCACTACACCTACTACCACATTTTCTTCTATATATAGATTGTATAGGAATTGTAATTCAATCAATCTTGTAATACATCAATACATCAATCAATCTTTACCTTCACTTACTCCACTACACACTCCACTTCACCTAACCCACTATCTCCTCCACTACACCTACTACCACATTTTCTTCTATATATAGATTGTATAGGAATTGTAATTCAATCAATCTTGTAATACATCAATACATCAATCAATCTTTACCTTCACTTACTCCACTACACACTCCACTTCACCTAACCCACTATCTCCTCCACTACACCTACTACCACATTTTCTTCTATATATAGATTGTATAGGAATTGTAATTCAATCAATCTTGTAATACATCAATACATCAATCAATCTTTACCTTCACTTACTCCACTACACACTCCACTTCACCTAACCCACTATCTCCTCCACTACACCTACTACCACATTTTCTTCTATATATAGATTGTATAGGAATTGTAATTAATCAATCTTGTAACAATACAATCAATAATAATACATCAGTATTACTACACACTCCACTTCACCTACCTCTACTCCACTACACACTCCACTTCACCTAACCCACTATCTCCTCCACTACACCTACTACCACATTTTCTTCTATATATAGATTGTATAGGAATTGTAATCAATCAATCTTGTAATACATCAATACATCAATCAATCTTTACCTTCACTTACTCCACTACACACTCCACTTCACCTAACCCACTATCTCCTCCACTACACCTACTACCACATTTTCTTCTATATATAGATTGTATAGGAATTGTAATCAATCAATCTTGTAATACATCAATACATCAATCAATCTTTACCTTCACTTACTCCACTACACACTCCACTTCACCTAACCCACTATCACCTCCACTACACCTACTACCACATTTTCTTCTATATATAGATTGTATAGGAATTGTAATTAATCAATCTTGTAACAATACAATCAATAATAATACATCAGTATTACTACACACTCCACTTCACCTACCTCCACTTCACCACACACTCCACTTCACCTAACCCACTATCACCTCCACTACACCTACTACCACATTTTCTTCTATATATAGATTGTATAGGAATTGTAATTAATCAATCTTGTAATACATCAATCAATAATACAATTTTTCTATTTCTCTTTATACATTAAATTTCTTCAGTCTATATGGCCTCTTGGTGCCTTTCTTTAATATAATCATACTCGATACTTTGACCAATAAAAGAGGAACTTTTTTCAAGTCAAGGAGATGCAAATCCAGCTGCTTGTTTGCTATCACATGAAGTTAATATTCTGGAAGAAGCATCTATCATTCTGATGAGGGATTGAACCTGTTTGCTTTGTACTTGTTGAAGACAGCAATTAGACTTGTATATATTAAAGAGAGCAATTTATGTTCAGTTCATCCCATTTAATACTCCCATGTGGGTGATTTGATGGTTGCTCTGTCCTAAAGACGTGCACTTCTGGCAATGCTTGCTTGTGCTTGTCTTTGGTTTAATCTTTTACAGAGCTTGCTGAGTTTGCAATCTATAGTTTCACTATCACTTCTGAACTTGTAAGCCTTTTACGGAGAATTCTTTTTTAAGAGTTATTTTAAATTGTGTTCCACAGTACAGTTCTTGAATTAAATATTACTGGGTTTTACTGTTGTAAACAGAAGGAATGGATGAGGATCCAAATTAGAGATTCACTCTTAGTTTTCCCTTGAAGAGGTATTGTTCAGCTTGGGAAGAATGTTGTGGGTAGTGAGTGTTAAGAGGTGGTTGATTGTTGACCTATGGGAAGGTGACAGTCACTGCAATGGCTCAAGATCACAAGATGCAGTGAAGGAGAAAGACCTAGGAAACCTTAGAGATAGAGAGGGTGGTAGTGAGAGACCTTGAACACTTAGGTTGTGGGGTGTGGTTGTATGCAAGATAGGCGACAACCTAAGAAGCACGGGCACGGACACGGACACGGACACGTGACACGACACGGATACGATACGGACATGCCGACAGGTTAATTTTCAAAAAATGTAGGACACGACACATGAGGGAGACGCATGAAATATATAATTTTATATATTTATTATATGTCATATAAATGAATATATTATTATTGTCTCTCAAGTTGTTTTGTTCAAACTTATAATTAGTTTCACGTGTGTTTAAACAATTGACACGTGTCCTCCAAGTGTCCAAAGAGTCTCCGGGTCTTTAAACAAATTTAAAAAATAAGACGCGTTTTGAAGAGTGTCGGACACGTGTCCTAAGAGTGTCCAAAGAGTGTCAGTGTCTAACACAGACACAACACGGATACATCACCTTTTTAGAAGTGTCCGTGTTTTTTAGGCGACAACTCTTATCTTGCTGTGTATTGTAATGTGTTGTGATTGTGTTTTGTGGCTGCATTCATGATACCATTACATAGACTTCATGAGTATTGGAGTCCAAGTCACCTATGGACAAGTGGCGAGCTCTCCTCAACTCGATATGATGGTGACATCAGCCCTACTGCTGTGTCTTATGGGATGCTGTATCATAGGAGCTATAGAGGTAGGTATGTTATCTCAGGGAGTGTATCATGCATGTAGCAAGTGGGAGTGTAAGTTCAATGTCCTCACTCTCTAAGACTAGTTAAGGTGGAGCTGTCATGCCAGTGTAGACAGGCAGGCAACCTTGAGGAACCCACGATCTTGGCACTCTACAATCCTCCAATGATCGCCAGCAAGGGATGCCTAGGATCTGATCTCAACCTAGGCAACTAAGTGATTAAATAGAGTAATCCTCATTTAGAAGTGAGCACATAGGAGAGGCATATGCAAGCCAAAGGTCCAAACATGTTGTAGTTGAGCGGGAATGTCTTGTAAAGAGATAGTTGTTATTGATGGAGCTTGAAACAAGACTAAACCTATTTAGATTAGGAAAAGGAAACAAGGAAATTAGTATTTGGTTAAATTTGGACCCTGAACTATTTCCTTATTAGTTGAGTTTTTTTTCTTTGTTAGTTTAGGTTTTGGTTTCCTTATTACTTTAGGATTGGGTTTAAGGCTAGCTTTATAAATACACCCATGTAGCTCTATGTTTTTAATTCATTCATTAATTTTGTGATTTTAGAGAGAGAGACACAATAGTGAGAGTGAGATACAGATCATTGTAGAGAGAGAGTTTGTGAGATTGAGTAGGAGAGATTCTTGTAACTCCTTTCATATTGATCTTAGTAAATCCGCAGTGTCTCGTGGACGTAGCCCATGATTTGGGTGAACCACGTGAATCTCGTGTTGTTTTGTGAGTTTGTTTGTTTGTTTGTTTTTTATTTCTTTTATTTCTCCGTTCTAGATTTGTTGTGTGCGTGATTGTTTGCTCACATCCTGGAGTTTGGTATTAATCATATATACCATAACAATAGTCACCCTGGAGCTTTCCCTATGAGAAAGAGGCAAGAAGGCCCATGGCGAGCGAGGGCTATAGGTGAGCCATGGTGCTGCTGAGTGGGCTATGCCAGGCTGGCAGCAAGCGAGCTTCGCTCTACTGTGCGAGCGGCGTTGGGCTCTTCATACTTTGACTCATTCACTTTAGAGCTCATGCCTACTAGGTTGGCAACCGCACTGGGGAGTTGAGTATCCATACTTGGTGGTGTGTATGTCCCCTCTTAGGCTAGGCATACAACCCGAAGAGGATCTCTTTTAGCACTTTCTTCCTACAGCCATTATCCAACAATTGATCTAAAGGTCACAAAAATATGATAATGACTACCTGTTGAATTGTGGATTTTGGATAAGCACTGGAGGATGGCTGGAGGAATAAAGTCTTGGAGAGGATCTGGATCTGTGACAACTCAGGACATCATGGTGCCTTAGAGGTCTGCAATGTGGGGGTATGGTGATGATGATGTGGTACACATAAGGCTTACCATGTTCCCAGCATGGTACAAGTACCCACAAATGTAATTATGTACCTTAACTTAGAGGTGATGTCCACAGTGACCAGGTTTATGTTGTTGGTTGAGTGATCCCACTGATTTTCTTTTGAGACGGCTAACCGCTAAAGAAATAAAATTTTAGGCTTTGAGTTCAAGTTTGTTCGTGTAATGATATGGACATGGCTCAACTGCTAATCACTGTTGGGGAGTCAGAATAAGAATTTTGTAGTAGAGAAGATTTAAGGAATTTTAAGGACCTTTAAGGGGATACCTGATTGATCAGATTGACTGTCATGATAAATAGAAGGTTTCTGGAACCGAGTGTGTAAAATACAGGGCTGTGAAACTTGAATGTATTGATTTTTAGGCTCTGCTACTCTATTAGTTTTGATGCCCTGTTTTCTGCGGATGATTGGAATTTAGAACTGAGATCATTACAGTATTGACAATGGCTGCAAACTGAAACATTTCTGTAGTACCTTAAATCTCAGATTGCTTCCTAACCCTTGAATTTTATGCTCTACATAATTCTTATAACTACTAAATGTGATTAAATTGATTTTTTGAACTTATCATTACTTAGTGTAGGGTTTCCTTTTTGTACGGTCTGTTACATTGTCCTCATGATCATATGTTGGTTGAATAGGTTGACCACATTAATTTGCTGGACACTACATTTTTTGACAGTTTTGGGGTCACATTTTGATTTGATCTTCTTGTTCCTTCTGATGATGTGGTTTGTGGCACTTAGTTTCTTGTTTTTTCATGTATAATTAGTTTCAGGTTATATATCTCATTGTTGCTCTTAAATAACCTGGCCTACTTGTGCCCAATGTAGCTTGTGGGTTGGTGAATGACATTGGAGCTTCCAAACATATGTCGAACATTTGTGCTTGTCTCATTAATAATTTGTGATAAGTAAGTGATGTTTAGCCACTTGTAGTAGGGCCAGACTCATTCAAGCAAGATTATTACTTGCTGAGTCATATTACATTTGCAAAAGCACTGTCCGTCCTTAAGTATGGCTATGTTAGAAGTAGTGAAACTTAGGTACCATATGTCAGTCCAAGTTAGATGCACGTGTGGGTTTTTTTCATCTGTTTTTATTTGTATTAGGATACAAAGTTGGAGTTCAATAGCCAAGAGAATGGAGATGTTGTGGCTGAAAAGGCCAAGAGTTCCAAACACATGGCATATGAGTCAGATTCCAGTGAAAGGTATTTTCATAACCAGTATTAATATTATTGAAGGCAAGTTCCCAATCATTTTGGTCTATAACATCTATGTGAAGCAGGCCTAAGGAAATTCCTATATTTGAAGATTCCGATCTTCCACTGGAAGTTGAAGATGAAATTGTATCATCTTCAGTGGTGCAAAATAACATGGAAGAAGATGCAGAAGAAGTTATAAATAATGAATCTTCATCTTCCGGAAAGTGTTCGGCATGGGTTGAGGAGAATTCTGATGCTCCTAAAGGTTAGTTAAATTTTGGTTTCATTTTTGGACTATGACTTCAGTTGAACAAATGTATTGATGGATAATGTGTACATGAGATTGTTGGTAGGTTGTAACACCTCTGTTGAACTTGCTGTTACTGCTACTGTACCATGGATTTGTTCCGCATCATTTCACCACCTTGACATACTTAATTCTTTACGGTTAGGGAGTGTTTAGTTCACTGGAATGAAGGCTAGAATGGAATGATCATTCTGTTAGAATACCCATTCTCATGTTTAGTTCGTTACAAAAAAAAGAGGAATATACATTCAAAATGGAATCACCACTCACTAATTTAGGAGTATGACCAAGGTTTTAAAAAGCGGCCGCAACCGTTACGTAATGCCGTTAAGTAACGGTTTTGGCGGTTACTGCCACCCGTTACGGCCGCTTTTGCAGTGTGATTGAGATTCACAGGTGTGTCGGCCGTAGCAGCGGTCGTAACGGTGCCGTAACAGCCGTAACGGCCTATTACGCACCGTTACGTAACGGTTCCAAACTGTTTCTTTCGAAAAAACACACAAAAAAAAGCTGAAAATGGGGGAAGAGGGATAGTGAGAAGAGAGAAGATAAAGAGAGAAAATAGAGGAGCAAGAGATAGAGAGAGAGAAGAGGGAAGATGAAGAACATGTTATTGATTTGTTGAAACTATGAGACCTATGCTATTCTATTCAGCTGCTATCACTAAACCATTTTGTTTGTGTGTCTATCTATATATTGTTTGAAAATAATAATAATAATAAATGTGGTCATTATCTATTTGACTTGGTTAAAATATGTATATATATATATATAAATATTTAGGCTCTTATTTATTCTCTTACTTTTGTCATTATTTATCTTATATATAATAGTTAGTGATTGATTTTTTGTAAAATATAAAGTCATTAATTATTAAAATAAAATGTAAAAAACTCAGTTTATAGTGATTTAAAAATATGAAATATATTGGATCATACTTAAAAATTTACAAAAATTGATCAATATTTATTTTTAACCCAATAAATATGATCATGGAAAAAAAATATGTGTATCGTTAAGTTTTTTTCAAATTGTGCAAAAAATAAAAAAATTCACGGTTCTGATTACCGCAACCGTTACACTACGGCCTTTACACCCCGCAACCGCAACCGAGTCACCGCCACCGTTACGGCGACCGCAACCGCAACCGCTTTTCAGAGCCTTGAGTATGACCGTTCCATTGGGAGGACAAGGAATAATCATTCCTTTCCTACCCAAAATCATTCTAGCAAACTAAACTCTACCTTGGTGGTTGTGTTTGTCCTTTTATTTTCTGCTGTCCCTGATCGGGTAATCTGTTATACCATGCATATTCGTACTTGTCCACATGATTGTGCACAATCTTGCAGGAGGGGTGGCACACTTTCACTTTGGGACATAATTAATTACTTTTAAGACCTTAAATTACTTTTTACACAGTACTATGTTTTTTGGAATGTCTATTAAAACTCTTCCATTAGTCATTAGATTTAATTTTTCTAGTTTGTGTTGAGTTGCTTGTCTCTGATGTGCAGTACCTGACTATTATACAAAGGTGGCAGAATCAAAGTTCCCGGTAGGATTTTCTTTTTCAAACCTAATGTTATAATAATATTCCATCATGTTTATTTTTGGTTACCTTTTATAATGTTGGCATGAACTAAGGCCTCGTTTGGCAAGTGCCCTTTTTTTAGCCAAAAAATCAAAAAGTTACTAAAAAAGCCTGTTCCCAAACGAGGCCTAAGAAATTGTTCTGATGTACACTTTCAACTCTTGGTGTGCAGATTAGGGTAGATGAGTTTTTTAATTTTTTTTATTCGGATGATGCTGTTGATTTCCTTGAATCATATCATGAAAAATGTGGAGATAAAGGTACCCCGGTCTGAATTTTTCTGAATTTTTATGAAAGAGCCATTTTATTTTGTTTCAATATTTTGTAAATCTTGATGATAGATGGAGGTCATCATTCTATAATTGCACCCTCTTGCTTTGCAGAATTTAGGTGCAGCTCATGGTGTCCTCATGAAAAATTTGGGCATGCTCGTGATGTGTCGTTTCAACACCCAATTAAAATTTATTTTGGTATTCATGTGTTTTCAAATTGGCAAGAAATTGTAACTGGTTTATATTTTCCGCAACAGATATTATGCTATTTTGTCTCTTAGTGTTGTTTTTTTCAACTTTTTGTTAGGTGCAAAATACGGCAGCTGTCAGGAGGTTCAGAAATTTCGAGTTTATAGAAACAGGTATATAATTTTGGGGTTTATTTGCAAAATGGAAATCTAGTGCTAATATGGAGTGTCTGAGCTGTTTTTTATTTTTATTTTTTATACTGAGTAGTTATGTATTATTTATCAGTTAGGTACACAATAAACACCTTGACCTAATTATTTACTATTTTTGCTACTACAATATCCCAAGGTTAGTTCAATCCAGTGTTTGGTGTGAACATTTTACCGTTGGGAGTGCTTCTAAATACACCTCCAAATTTTCTCTCTATGAAGAAACACGAGCATGGGCACACAACATGATAATTTAAAAAAAAAAAAAAAAGGATACGGAACACTGCTGCGATATGACAGGGGGATATATGAACACAAAGTCAAGACCCTACCCTTCTTTCCTGGGATACAACGGGGATGTATGAACCCTAGTCCAGTCCCGACCCTTCTTTCCTAGCTGAAAGTTGAGCTAATGGGTCACCAACCCAATTGTTGTAGAAGTGCAGGGTTGTGTAAGTAGAGGACACGTTAGGAAAAGGTGAAGGATAGTTAGCTAACTGAAGGCGGCAATTATTATACAAATTACTAATAGATCAGATGAAGTGTCAAACATATATCTTCATATGCTAATCTATATCTGTAAACAGCAAAAAATAAGGAAAAACTAACACTAATTCAATATAAAAGACCACTCAATCTATAATTTAATGTCATTCAAGATACAAAATACTATTTCATCAATCATAAATCATTACATCACAAATGTGAAAAGCATTCAAGTTCAGTAATTAATAGATCATCCATAAAAATTGAGTAAAATCCTATTATTTTGTTTAAGAACTTAAGAAGAAATAATTTTTTTGTTAACTTTTACCATAAGTTTACTAAAAAATTCCACATAATCAAACATAATGTAAGTAGATAATAGGAAGGCTAGCAAGATGAGAGGAGCAACCCAAAAAAGTGGGGCTAAAGTTTCATCTTCAAATTATGTTTGAGGTGTTTTCCTCGTGTATTCTCAAGGAAGAAAATGATTCAAGTGGTGAATTAGAAAATGATTCAAGTGTTGAATTAAAAAGCAAGAGCGAAGCAAGTTGTTTTACCAAAGAAGATGGTTCAAAGGGCTTTGTCAAGGTGGAAAGTAGTTGTGCCTCTCTAATTGGAATGACGGGAAAATTGGAAGGCACACTTCCTCCCATGAAGGAAAACCAAAAGAAGCTTAAGGAAAAGATTAGCAACTTCAAACTTACTAGAACAAGGTGACGGGGACTCATAAAATATTTTGACTCCGTTTGGTTTACTTTTCAAATCACAATTTGACAACCCAAAACCCAAAAACCTATTTGGTTTTGGGTTTTCAAACCTATATTCAACTCAACTATTTGGAAACTCTTTTCAAAACTCATAACTAAATAAATTTTAAATTTTCAAAACTCATAACCAAACAAGTTTTAAATTTTCAACTCTTTTCAAAACTCATAACTAAACAAGTTTTAAATTTGGCTTTGTTTGGTTTGTGTTTTGAGATATTGTTTCAAAAAAAATTTCTGGAGCGAGTTTAGAAAATTTAAAAATTTGTTTGATTGTTTGAAAATAGTTTTTGGAGTTTGGAATGATTTGATATATATATATATATATATTTTGTAGTTGAATAGATGGGTGTGAGAGAAAAAGTAAGAAAAAAATAATTGATTGATGCGTAGTAAAAAGAAAAGTGATTTTAAATTTTTTTTCCAAGAATTGGGCAAATAATTTGTTATGTTTTAGATATACATGGACGATCCAAAAAATATACGTAAATAGTAAACAAATGAAAAATAAATGTCATAAATATGAAACGTTTTAAATGTATGTAAATTGAGTGGCTATAAATCAGAAAAAGCAGTTTTAAAATTTTAAAAACATTGTTAGGAACTAATATATGTATATATGAAACTCTGCCCTATAGATTATAGTAGATCTATTTACAAAGTACATTTAGATTACATATTTAAAAGAAGTAAACAAAATAAAAATAAAAATAAAAATATATGATAATAAAAAATAAAAATAAAAATAACTATAAAAGTTTTGACTACGTATGTAAAAGAAGTAATCAATTGACTATAATATTGTAAAAAATTTTGACTACAAGACCAAAACAAAATAAAAATAAAATATACAAGACTCGAAAAAACTCTATTAAAAACTATTTTTGAAAACTCTTAACCAAACAAGTTTTCAATTTGCAAATTCTAAAAACTACTTTAAAAGATGTGCAGTTCAAAAACTAGTTTCAAAACTCATAACCAAGAAAGTTTTAAATTTTCAAAATTCTTTTCAAAAACTTATCTTTCAAAATGAATTTCAAAACCAAACCAAGCGGATTGTTTTTTGTCTTTGGTTATGTTGCTTTGTGTTATCCATTCTTCTCGGGTTGTAGGACGATGTCTTGTTCAGTTGGCCTATCCTCTTGGGCATGTGGGTGATTATGTAGGCTTAGGTATGTTCTTTAATTGCTTTGTTTTGTGAGGTAGTGGGCCTCTTGGCTATGCCAATGTTTGCCCTTTGGGACATGTGTCATAAGCTTTCTTGTATTTCTTTTTTTCTTTTCAGTAAAAAAAAAAAAAACTGCAAAGACAAAAAAAAAAAAGAAGAAAAAAAAAGAGAAGAAATAAGATGAGAGGAGTGACCAAGTTTTCAAGGAGATATGCTCTTTGCCTCTCTTAAATGAATATTAGAGCACATATGATAGACATTGAAGATTGAACACATTAGGGGAAAATTTTTGTTTTTGTTTTGTCTCCCCCCCGCCAATTTCTACCCCTTTTTGTTCTTAAATGCTATACCTTCACTACCCCAATCCACATGTCTAAAATTATGATAAAACCTTAAATGTGTATTGTTATTAAAAAACTTGACATGCTATGTGGTGTGTTTTCCACATGGTCTAACGTGCTGGAGGTGTGTCTGACGTTCGCACAGATACAATGACTAAAATGGAGTGTATACTTCATGAACACCAACTTTCTCTTTTGCTCCTTCCAAAGATTTAAAAAAATAATTTTCTTTCCACACCCACTCATTTTATACAATCCAACACATCAACCATTCTTTCCACCCATTCTCCCGTCGTTGGTTAGTTCATTGCCAAATGACAACCTCCAATGACCGTCCATTCCAGGTCGGTCCATTGTTCCATTGTTGGCCATTCTTTGCGTGTGTGTTTTAGTTTTAGTTTTTTAATTTTTTATAGGATTTACAGTTATTAGTTTGTTGTAATTATAGTTTTGTAACTATCGGTGTTATTGTTTTTATTTATTTATTTTTGAGTATGTTGTTTAGTGTTTACAATAGTTTTGGAGTAATTTGGTATGCATCGGAGAGTTATTTGAGAATGGTTTGATGTACATCTGTGTGATTTGAAAAAAGAGAGAGGAAGCTCAATTTGGCCGCATTTAGCCAAGCATATGAAACTTGTTTGGGCCTGGTTGGGCAAATAAGCTCGAAATCAGAAAAAGTCTTCAAATCATCAATTATGTTGAAAAATATACATGTTTTCATTGCTAGAACGCTCTCATCACTCAAATAAATGTAAATAATACAACAATGACTATAATTTATAAGATTGATTGTGATTTTTGAGTGAAAACGAGGAAGAGTGGGGAGTTCGGTTGTAAACATTTCTTGGGTTTAGGATAGTTGGTATATGTTGGGTAGGTGTAATTTGTTGTTGTTATTGTTGTTATTTGTCTTGGGGGTAGAATTGTATTTTCCTTAGCTACTCCAAAGATAGCTTTATTCGCTAGGTCAGTGGCAATCGAGGCCAATTTGACCATTGATTTTTTGAGGGAGAGGAATAAATTTATGCTCGTTTGGTGCTGCAGTGAATCGTGTGTATATATATATGAAGGCCGAGAAAAGAATGGTTGAAGAGGAAACAAAGCTGTGGCTTCATTTGAGGTCGGGTTTAATTAATAAACCGTAAAGGCTAGGCTTGAAATTGTGAAGACCTTTATAATTTTGCAAGTCCATTGTAGCGAAAGCTCTCTTTCTCTAGCCTATCACTGTCAATTTAGATTGTATATTTACATATTGGATTTTATATGTTTATGTCGACCTTACTTGGAAAATGATCGTGGTAGTTCGTAAAACGGGAATGGGAAATGCTCGAGAATGGGATATGATATGGGTTAGTTTAAATAGAGCACAATAATTAATGTATTAAGTGATAATGCCAAATGTCGAGTGTAATTTTTTATTAACAACTGGACACTCAATGGAACACACTATATTAAAATGCATTTGTAGTTATTTTTTTTAGTTCTCTAATTTCAAACTAGTCATATAAAACCAGCTTTGGATGCATTGCAGTCAGCTTTTTGTAGATGTGTTCCCTTCAAAATCTGAGGCTTTCTTGATTTAAATTAATTGCATTTGATGGTTTTTCCTCAAGGAGGACAGAATTAAGGAGTAGGAAAAAAATGTTTGGATCTCTTCGGTTTGCTAAATTTAGTTTTTCAGGATGCATGTTCCAAAACATAAATTTCTTGGGTTGTTTTTTTGCTGGTAACTATGGTTTAGATTTAAATGACACCAATGGTAGGTGTACAAAACATAAACTTGTAAATAAGTAATTTTTGTATAAACAGAATTTAAAATTTATTGGACATATTGAATTGTGTTTATGAGAAGATTCATGTGGAAATCAAAATTTATGTGATTGTAGAGTTAATACATGATGTTGTATTGTTATTTGGTGAAGTTGTGCGATCCAAAGAATAATTTGATAGTTCTGGTAGTTGCGGCTATTATGCAAAGTCTGCTCCAACTTGCATCTGTGTCACTGCTACTTCAACTGTGACGGTAGCCACTACTGTTAATGTACCATTCATGTTTAGACCGGGCCTGGTAATGTACCATTCATGTTTATTTGTTCCCCAATTGTCCGTAGTTTATGTGTCTCTAGTTTTTCGTGGTGATCACCAAGCCCACTGATTCCTTCAATGCGTTAATCGTCTTTGTTCTGTGTAATGTTGTGCGTCAGTCAAATGCCCATGATTGTATAGTACATTCTTATTTGGTTACTCTAATCATTGGGCATGCAAAAGTTGGTTTTTGACACTTTGGTTTTTGATTTATGCCAGTCATTTGGTTATTGAAACCTCCCAAGAAGTCCGTGATGTACCTTATGGAGATTACTTCCATGTTGAGGTATGAGATATACTTTACCTAATTGATTTACATGCCATGTATTAAATTTTAATATCACTGCTGATGTTGTGCTGTGGTAACCATCTCGATATTTCTTGTAAATTTTGTATATATTTAGTAGTAGTTAAGATGGCATATTAATTGTTGGCACTCTGCATTAGGATTTTGTTTTTGTTTATGAGCTGTATGGATTAGTACACCTTTTCAATGGCAGGGAGCTGTACTTTGGCTTTGTATATCAAGGTGCTAAACATACAAATCCAAGAGGAACTGTAGAAACTTAAAACTGTTTAAGCGATGAAAGAGTTCAAAGAAAAGCAACAGACAACAGACAGACCCTTCTGAAGATGTTATTGTTTTCCTTATTGGACTTTTAGTGGGCCGTTGTCTTTGTAGATTGTACAGAACTAATGAAATTTCTCATGCAGTTAACATATTTTTTGTTTCTCTTTTTCCCGTCGATTGCTCAGGGGCTCTGGGATGTTGAGAGAGATGGTGACGAATCAAAAGAAGGCTGCATTGTGAGAGTATATGTGAATGTCGTATTTTCCAAGAAAACTATGTGGAAAGGTGTGCCTAAATTGATAAACAAATGTGTTTAGGCTATGCATTCATGTTATGATTTTAGTTCCTTGCAGATAGTAGTTTGGACTAAGTTGTTGGGTAAGCACAACTTAATGTCACTTTTTTCTGATCTCAGTTTGGACATATGTCTCAAATGTTTTGGATATATCTAGGTGGTGTTGACAGTGTCATGATTCCACATTTATTTCGAATTTGTCTAGAACTAACATTTTTATATTTAGCAGCTACTTCTTGTGGGGATAAATAGCACTATTCATATATTGTTTGTTAAATTAGAAATAGTACTGAAAAGAATATGCACTTTATAGTCTGTAAAAAAATAATGACAATGCAAAATGAAATAAATTGCAGTTTGAGTCCTTGCGTATTATAGATATGTAGGAAGCCAGTTATTTACAAAAATATAGTTTTAATGCAAATGGTTAGTTGGATTTGAGTTCACAAGCCTAATTTGGCAGTCTCTTAACTAGTTGATATCTTCATGAGTTAAGGTTAGTGGTTGATACAAAGGTTAACTCTACTAACTGATATATATTAGACTAGGATTCTATTGAACATCTGCCAAGGGTGCAGCAAAAGTGATTTTCTGGTCCTGTGGTTGCAATAGGACTTTCTGCAATTATGAAGCTTTGTTAGACTTGTTAGATTTACTGAGATGTTGAACATGTTGATAGACAAAAGATTCCGCCTAAGCAAATGAATCAATAAAAAAGGTTAATATCTAGTGATTAATATTTTTTCATGTGGGGTAAATTAAGGCATGTTGTGACCCTTGTGTTTTATTCATTGCTGCACTGTACATCTTGTTGATATATGCTTGGATGCAGGCCAAAATAACTTACTATGAGTATGCTTGACTGTGGCTTTTTCCTCTGTATGCTGTTCTTTTGGCTTGAAATGCTGATTGAAATTCCTTATAAGCATTATCTTGAGTTTTGGTTTGATGAATGCTGGTTGGTGAACGTTTTTGCAGGGAAGATAGTGCAGACTACTGTTGAAGAGGCTCGAGATGCTTATGTGGTTTGGATGAAACATGTACTTCTTGCTTCCCATTTCTTGCATGTTCATTGAATTTGCTGTCTATCAAGAGTTTTACATTCTATTATGAATTGATATATTAGCTTTTTATTCAGGCACATGTACTGTTGAAGCAAAAGAACCTTGAGAAAGAAGAAGGTAGGTTTGTTAAAGTGGCAATTTTTTAATAACTAGTTTCTGCTCTATATTTTTCATGCTTTAGGTGATACTGATAATAGGAGTGCTTCTCCTATTGTTTTTTTTTTTTGGCCCTACAGCTGTCCTCATTATGAATGGTCAAATTCGTGAAGAAAGGCAAGAAAAAACCGGGGAACTTTTGGAAGGGTCACAAGGAGCAAGCGACTCAAGGATGTCACAGATGTTGCCAGATTCTGAGGATGTTAACCAACTAGTTGGTGATCGCTTGCATGGGATGTCGAATGGTGTTACTTCCCTTGCATCTTTATTTAGAGAATCCATGGTGAAATTCTATTTGTCTTTGAAATCTCAAAGCCAAGTTCCACTAGTTGTAGTGATTACACTTGTTATGATTCTTCTACTGATGCAGGTAAATACTTCTTAACTTTCATGAGTATCTTTCCAATTTACATTGAGGGTAATTGGGTTAAGTAATTCTTTCATTTGAATTAGGAATTTGGTTCATTTTGCTTATGACGATAGTTGTTCTTATTATAGTTGAGGGGTGATCCATTTTTGGATTTCTTGTTAGAGACAATCCAAGATGTTTTACTGCTGAAGTGTTTATATAGTCTTAATTTATTCATTTGCGCCATTGTTGTTGTTCCATGGTAGTTATTTAAACCATCTTGCTAAATGATAGGGTATGTTTTCTGTTTTATCTCAACCATTACCTGCAAATTTGTTTAGGGGTTTGAATTTTGATTTTTCGTACAATGATGCAGGACTTAAATGGCATAGAGTAGTATGTTGATTTGTCATAGAATTCCATTTTAAAAATTTCTGTTGTTTAGTATTATGTTAAAAATTCAAGCCATTTACATATCAATATCAATTCAAAATTCAATTCTTCTTGTTTTTGAATAAATTTTGATGTGTTGGTTATATATTAATGTTATGATATCAGTCTAGAAAGGAATTATCTTTGAAAGTTTTAGTATTCCTTTAATGCTATTATAAATTGATGGACATGACTGGATCATATCTGCAATGTGTGCAAGAAAGTCCATCTTGCCCCCATAAGATAATATTTATTGGAAATTATTTTATCCTTGCTATTTGGAAATATACCTTGTTTAGACAGTGAAATATATTGAAGATGTCTTAGGAGCGCACGTGATGTAAATAGTCTTTCGATATTTTAATTATAAGTATTGCCATAATGCTAGAATAAGTTGTTGAACGTGACTGGAAATCCGTGGTGTGTGCAAGAAAGTCCATCTTGCCTCTTAGTTAATATTGATTGGAATTTAGTTTGTCCTTGCTGTTTGAAAATATACCTGGTATAGTTTGTGGGTGAAGTATATTGAGGGTGTCTTAAATATGTGCATACACGAAGAGAGTGTAACCCTTATATGTAGGGTAAAAATGAGCCGGGCCAAACCAATTAGTGGGTTCCTCATTAGTTTCAATGAATTCCTACTTCATTTGATCTTGGCTTGAGCTGGATTAGTTGGATTCTATCTAGTCCCAGAGCGCTTCTTAGCTTGTTAAGCTGAGTTCATGTTGAACTGAACAAATTAATGAGCTTCAAACATGAGAATTACAAAAATAGTTGGAGAATATCTTAATATTTTTTTAACCTTTTTCCGCTGTTGGCTATTGTACGGCAGCTGCCATGTTGCACATGTAGGACAAATTTGCTTGGTGAGACTAGTTTTTTTCTTGTTATGTGCTCCATTCTGTCGTTGAGCTGGTTACCAGGATTTAATTTTCCCATCTATACATATCCATTTTCCTTGTTCAATATTATCAGTGACCATTTATAATTACTATTACTATATTATTACTATTTCAATTTTTGCTCATGTTTATTTAACTGTTTTTCATGACATTATTTATAGAAGGAAAAAAACTAACCATTGTTACTTCTCCATATTGCTTAAACTTTTTCTTATGCTCAAACTTAGGACTTGTTTTTGGTTTCTTCATTTGCTGCAGCTAAGCATAGTCATGCTGCTAAGTAGACCTCAACAAGTCCAATTGATTCCTCAACCCGATTACATGAGTACCACGTGCAGTTTAAGCGAACGAATGCCTGGAACGATGGCCTGGGTGGAGAAGCGGATTGACCATCTCAAGGACGAAATGCATGTGATCGAGACCTTGCTAGAAAAGATGCGGCACGAGCACACATTCTTGAAAGCACAACTGGAAGATCTAGAGTACTTTAGAAGGCAACAAAGATGATAGGTAACTGTACATATGCCCATTCTTCATTATGCTGATAAATGTTCATTTGATTTTCATTTTTTTTTATTATTTTAAATTCAATTTGTAAATCTGAAAAATACATTTCAATCTGGAAGATGAGAAAATTGATGTTGAGTTTGTGCTAATCACAATTTGTGTACAACTTTGCTGGCCTGGCCTTGCATTTTAGAACTTGTGCTTGTGAGATTATGCTTGTGGACTCAGGACAACCTTGTTACTTGTATTGTGTTTGTTTCTATAATATATATACACATTCTAAGGTCTTATTTGGTATTGCATTATGGAATTTTCAATACACTTTTTGTTGGGATCTGGGATCCCGCCCAAGACCTTATAGAAATTATTCCATGCAGAAAAACACACCCACACTCAAGGAGACACAATATTTAACGTGGTTCGGCCTCAATGTCTACGTCCACGGGAGAGTAGCCGGTTATCACTATAACAATGGAGATATTACAGAAAGATTACAATAGAGGAGGAGCTCACACTCTCCTCACTCACCCACTCACCCGTCTCCCTCGCTCACACCGAGGGAGACGGTCTCTCCGCCTCACATATCTCACTCTCTGTGGCTTGCTTTGCTCTCACTCTCTCTCAATTAAACTCTCCCCTCAACCTCCATTTATACACTAACAGAATAGGAGATGAAGAGGGGCTGGCCAGCACATGGCCAGCTTGTGCCAACTCGTGCAACTCCTTGCATTACCGTGCAACTCCTTGCATTACCGTGCAACTCCTTGCATTACCGTGCAACTCCTTGCATTACCGTGCAACTCCTTGCATTACCGTGCAACTCCTTGCATTACCGTGCAACTCCTTGCATTACCGTGCAACTCCTTGCATTACCGTGCAACTCCTTGCATTACCGTGCAACTCCTTGCATTACCGTGCAACTCCTTGCATTACCGTGCAACTCCTTGCATTACCGTGCAACTCCTTGCATTACCGTGCAACTCCTTGCATTACCGTGCAACTCCTTGCATTACCGTGCAACTCCTTGCATTACCGTGCAACTCCTTGCATTACCGTGCAACTCCTTGCATTACCGTGCAACTCCTTGCATTACCGTGCAACTCCTTGCATTACCGTGCAACTCCTTGCATTACCGTGCAACTCCTTGCATTACCGTGCAACTCCTTGCATGATGAACACTGGAGCAACTAGAAAACTTCAGAGTTTGACACATCAACATCCTCAAGTTTCCTTGCTCGGAGCTTATTTCTGAACAACCAGCCTTTGCCCTTTTGCACTTCTGAACAACCTCCTGGCGTTTCCACATACGCTTGTTGTCTGTGCTGCAATCCCTGATGTTCGGTTCTGTCTCACTTGTCCGTACTGATGTTTGACAGTTAGCCCTTCTGCCAAGACAACTTCCACGGTCTGTACAAGTTACCACTATGCAACTCCGTGCATAGTGCTCGCACCCATGGCTTCTGGTCTCCCTGCGTCAAGCTTGCTTGAGAGATCTGCATCAACTCTATCATCTGCTGCCATGGAACTAAAGAAACCACCATAGAGAAATAAGACTTGCCACTCCTTGGCACGCACTCTTGCGTTTTACTTGTCTCAATTTCTCTGTCTGGAAGTTCCTGTGAACTGTCACCAACCTGCTGCTGCACACTCTTCTCGCGCCTCTGTACGACACTCTAGCGTACCCTTGCACTGTTGCACGTCTGCAATTGTACTTCTGCGCTTAGTATGCTCCTCTGCAACTATTGTTCTACACGTCCACGTACCACCAGTACTTACTCGTATACAGTAGCTCCAACAGCCACAACATTTCCCTGAGCCTGAACTGGTTGCCAAATCATCTATCCGTCGATGAATGGTCTTCTCTTTTGATTGAACCAGATCCTCCAACGAACTCCGGAGATAATCATCTTTGCAATCCTCTGATCACCCCTGACCAATCCTGATCTCCCTTGATTTGTCACTTGATTAAGCCTGATTTCCTCTGGTCTTCAATGATCTATCTCAATCTGTATCTGGTTGTCCAATCTGGTCAGAATCTGCCCATTCTAACCTCTTCAGTGAATCCGCAGCATTCCATAATATCCGACAACCTTCCTTCGAGTATTGAAGATGGCAAATACCCATGTTTTGACAATCTTTCCAAACCGTTCAGAATTTCACTATTCTGACCTCGCGGTTGCGTCCGGAGCGGTCCGTTTAGCTAGAACCAACCTTCGTTGCATTTCCGGTGACCTCACTGAAAATTATCCCTGAAAGCTGGGCCACACCACAATTTTTTGAAAATTCTGGGCCAAATTGCAATTTTCAGAAGTTTAGGGAATATTCCGTGTACTAACAGAATATTTCGTCCATTGCCCCTAACGCCGTCTGCCACTTTAATCTGCCTTCTTTTTATAGAAACTCCGGCTATGTTTGGTTGTGAATTCAAAACGTGATTCTACACGTGAACTCCCGTTTCACGTTTGGATAGGATGTTCAAAAGTTGATTCAGCGTGTTAATTCAAATTAGATTTTGAAAATTCGTTTGGCAGCTTGTATCTCCTCTTTCAACGTTTCTGAAAAGTTTCCATGTCCTTCTCTTCCATCGTCTCTGTTTCACGTGAACCTCATCTGTGTATCAAACCTTGGGGATGACCGGGCGGTAGACCTTGGAGATGACCGGCCGGTAGACCTTGGGGATGACCGGCCAGTTGTCCTCCTCTCTGAAGATGAACTGGCATCAATTATTTTATAGAAAGGTGAGGTTCAAAAGGTTCAGAAAGGTGAGATTTTATTCAGATTTTCTATCAATTATTTTAGAAAAATAGAAAAAAAATTAAAAACGTATTTTATAAGATGTTTGTACAGGCGTAAAAAATAAATTGATAGAAAAATTAATTGACACAAAATAATTGACATAGGTTTATTTTAAAATGACAAAATTATTTGAAAAAAAAATTATTCAAAAAAAAGATTTGAAAAAAAATTAATTGACAAAAAAATGGTATTTTTAATGTCAGTATTTTAAAAATAGTTTGGTTATTATTGTTGATAAAAAATATGGATATCGATAGAAAAATTAATTGGAAAAAAAAATTGACATCGGTTTATTTTAAAATGAAAAAATTATTTCGAAACAACAATTATTCAAAAAAATTACTAAAAAAAAATAATTGACAAAAAAAATTAATTTTTAATTTCAGTATTTTAAAAATAGTTTGGTTATTATTGTTGATAAAAAATATGGATATCGATATATGAGTTGTGTGTTTGATGATAAATTATTAGTTGAATTAAGTTTTGAAAATTATTTTCAAAACACATCACCAAACAAATTTTCACCTTTCACATGTCACATCAAACTTTCAAAACTTAATTCAAAATATATCTTCAAAACACAATTCAACACTCTATTTAAAAACCATAACCAAACAAATTTTCTACACTCAAATCATAATTCTACAACTCACAAACTCAAAATACAACTCATACTCTCAAATCACATTTACAAAACACAACCAAACGCAGGCTCCGTCTTCAAAATCTGACCGTACGGATGTGTCCGGAATACTCCAAATAGTTGAAAACCATTATTGGATCACCAAAAACGGACTTCAAATGGCTTCGATCTAGCCAAAACATTTTGTACGCCTCAGATCTGCGGCTGTACCTTCGCCGCAAAGCACTGGATCCTTCCTCATGCGGCTGCACCATTGCCGCGTAGCACTGGATCCCTCCCTGGATGCTGACGTGGCAGATGACATGGCACAACCGTGCTGACGTGGCGATGACCTGGCTGCCATGCGTCGATGACCTGGCTGCTGACGCTTCTGCTGACGGGGCTGCCACGTGGATGACACGTGGCGTTGATGATGACACGTTGCTGTTGACCTGGTACGCGCGTGCCTTACACGCGCCTTCCCCCACTTACCTTCTTCCTTCCACCGCGCGTGGGGGGCGTGCCTGCGACTGGTACGACGCGCCGACTGCCTTCACGGCGCGTGGGGGCGCGTGCAGAGACTGGGTCTCACGCGCCTTCTTCCAGGGACGCGTGAGGGCGCGTCCGGCCTCCGTTGGGTGTCTGCTTTATATTTCTGGACTCCTCTCGTCGAGCCCTTGCTCCTGGTATGCTCAAAACCTGATTTCGAGCAACTTGATTTCTGGACAGTTTCAAACAGCACGCTGTTTTTGTTCCGAAACGCCACCAACGAGGCTCTGATACCACTTGTTGGGATCTGGGATCCCGCCCAAGACCTTATAGAAATTATTCTATGCAGAAAAACACACCCACACTCAAGGAGACACAATATTTAACGTGGTTCGGCCTCAATGCCTACGTCCACGGGAGAGTAGCCGGTTATCACTATAACAATGGAGATATTACAGAAAGATTATAATAGAGGAGGAGCTCACACTCTCCTCACTCACACACTCACCCGTCTCCCTCGCTCACACCAAGGGAGACGGTCTCTCCGCCTCACATATTTCACTCTCTGTAGCTTGCTCTGCTCTCACTCACAAACCCTCCCCTTAGCCTCCATTTATACTCAATCAGAATGGAGATGGAGAGGCTGGCCTTGCATATGGCCAGCTATCTTGTGTGTTGGCTTCACATGGCCAGCTCATGTGTGTTGGCTTCCTAACATGGCCAACCTTGCAACACATGGAGGATCACCCCTCACATGGGGTGATGATATTCCACACTTTTTGGGTATTGTTTAACGCTTGTTTGGTAACATTTGTATTTACAGTTATGTTTATATATGCAATAATTTAAAAAATTGTAAACAAAAACTTGTTTGATATCCTTTTTGGTTTTTCAAAATTTGTAAACAATTTATAAAATTTATTAAATTTTTGTAATCACAAAAAATTAGGTTTCACTTGTTTAAAATTCTTTTGTTTATTTCTCCACCCACCACTTATCACCACCACCTCCGGTCCACCTTTGTCAATGACCTCTTTTGGAAATCACTAGTGATGGTCACTTTTTGCCACCACCTCTCGATGGAAGTCATTTTCAATTACTACCAACCACCACTGACAATCATGTTTGCTTACCATGTCTTGTTAGAAATCACCACCATATTTCACAGTTGCCAACTATCTCCGATTTGCACCTCCAACCTTCGATAATCAAGGTGAAATGTGAATAAAATATAATTATATTTCACTCATCATTTTCTTTTTTTGTTTACTTTTTCAAATTCTTA